CCCTCTTACCCCCTCCCCTTGTAAAACATGCTATAAAAAAGCATTTCATGTTCAAAAATAAATAAATTATTTATAAAAAAAATCTGAACTATAAAGAACTATGAGAGAGAGAGAGAGAGAGAGAGAGAGAGAGAGAGAGAGAGAGAGAGAGAGAGAGAGAGAGAGAGGGAGAGAGGGGAATCAGGGCATGTTTGTGGTCCTTGTTACAATGACAACAGGAAATTTTTATGTCACATTTGCAAAGTAGCATTTTTAAAAGAATTAATAAAAATTCAACTAAAATAAAAAAAAAAAAACTAGATTCACTGAATCTAATAGAAGAGAAATTGGGAAAGATCCTCAAACACATTGGCACAGGGGTAAATTTCCTGAACAGAACACCAATGGCTCAGGCTCTAAGATCAACAATTGACAAATGGGACCTCATAAAATTACAAAGCTTCTGTAAGGCAAAGGACATTGTCAATAGGACAAATGGCAACCTACAGGTTAGAAAAACATCTTCACTAACCCTATATCCAATAGAGGGCTAATATACAAAATATTCAAAGAACTCAAGAAGTTAGACTCCAGAGAACCAAATAATCCAATTAAAAAAGTAGAGTACAGAACTAATCAGAATTGTCAACAGAAGAATCTTGAATGGCTGAGAAGCACTTAAAGAAATGTTTAACATCCTTAGTCATCAGGGAAATGTAAATCAAAATTACCCTCAGACTCCACCTTACACCAACCAGAATGTCTAAGATCAAAAACTCAAGTGATACATCCTTGTGAGGATGTGGAGAAAGAGGAACACTCCTCCATTGCTAGTACAATTGCAAACTGGTACAACCACTCTGGAAATCAATCTGGTGGTTCCTCAGAAAATTGGAAATAGTTCTACCTGAAGACTCAGCTATACCACTCCTGGGCATATACCCAAAAGATGCTCCACCATACCACAAGGACACATGCTCCACCATGTTCACAGCAGCTTTATTCATGAATAGCCAGAATCTGGAAAGAACCCAGTTGTCCTTCAACTGAAGAATAGATACAGAAAATGTGGTTCATTTAACAAAGTGGTATACTATTCAGCTATTAAAAATGAGAACACCATGAATTTTGCAGGCAAATGGATAGAACTAGAAAATATCATCCTGAGTGAGGTAACCAAATGGACATGCATGCAAAAAGTTCAGAATATCCTTGATATAACTCACAGACCATAGGAAGTTTAACAAGCAGGACAGCTCAAGTGAGGATGCTTCAATCTCACTTAGAAGTGGAACAAAATAATTATGAGCGGCAGAGAGTCAGGTAAGAACCTGGGTAGGAGAGTAGGAGGGAAAAGAGGGAAGCAGGATCAGATAGGGGAGACAGAAGAGAAGCCCCGAAGGCCAGGAGAATGAATAGACATATGCATTAGTGTGTGGCTGGGAGGCTGGGGGAACCTCTAGAAAGTCACAGATACCTGGGATGCGAGAGGTTTCCAGGACTCAGTGGGGATGATCTTAATAAAATTATCAATATTGGAGGGATGGGACCTGAAGAGACCACCTCCAGTAGATAGACAGGACTCCCAGTGTATTCCAGTGGGTAGGGCCACCCCCCCCCATCTTCCTAGTTTTTGACGCAGAATTGTTCCTGTCTAATTGAAACGCAGGGACAAAAATGGAGCAGAGACTGAAGGAAAGCCATTCAGTGACTGGCCCAACTTGGGATCCATCCCATGCACAGGCACCCTGACATTATTACTCATGCCATGTTGTGCTTACAGACAGGATTCTAGCATGGCTGTCCTCTGAGAGGCTCTACCAGCAGCTGACTGAGACAGGTGCAGATACAATCCAGCAACCTAGCAGTGAACTGAGGTCAGAGCCCCATATGGAAGAGTTAGGGGAAGGACTGAAGGAGCTGAACGGGATGGCGACCCCATAGGAAGAACAACAGTGCCAATTAGCCTGGACCCCTCAGAGCTCCCAGAGACTGAGCCACCAACCAAAGAGCAGACACAAAGTAGTCTGTAGCCCCTGGCACACAAGTAGCAGAGGACTGCCTTGTCTATCCTCAGTAAGAGATATACATAATCATATATATATGTTTCAACCACATCAACATGGGGGCAAATAGAAGCATTCAGCTCTATAGTCCAGAGCTCTTTCCAACAGGCACCATGTCACATAGAGAAAGACACTATCAGGTTTCCACATAAGAAGTAGTTCTGGAGGTGCTGTTCAGTGGTGGTGTACTTGCCTAAACTGTACAGCACTCTGGATTCCATTACCAGCGCCACATATTCCCCCACCCCCAAATTAAAATTACTTCAGGGACTGGGAATATAGTCTTCTGGTAAAACATTTACCTAGTATGCACAGAATTGAGTTTGAACACAAAATTAAAAAACATATTTCCAGGAGCTGAAGAGCTAGTTCAGTGGATGAGACCCGAGTTCTTCCAGAAGACCCAAGTTCCATTCTCAGTATCCACATGGTAGCTCATAACTGTCTATAACTCCTAGTTCCAGGAAATCCAATGCTCTCTTCTGGCCTCCTTGGGCACCAGGTACACAAGTGGTACACAAGCATTATATGGAGGCGAAACACCCATACACATAAAATAAAAATTTAATTAATGGCCAAGCTCATTGATAGACCACCTGACTAGCACATAAGATACTCAGGGTTTAAGCCTCAGCACTGAAAAAAGATAAGTGAATAATGTCAAATTGGGCCTTTCATTGAGAGCAACTTCAAGGGATAAAGCAGTTCAGGATATCTAACCTAAAATTTCGCTCTAGATTTATATGTGCATGTAGAATATGATTCCCATTTAATTGACCACATCTAAATAAGATACACTAAATGAAAAAAAATGATATACCAGATGAATTTTGTTCCCCTTAGATACAATGATAAATACAACAATAATTTATAATGCCATGCATTTAATTACTTTCAAGAGAGATAGTTCTATATTCAATACTGATTACACGTGGATATTCTGTATGTAGATCAATTTGTTTTAAGTCCTTAATATTGGAAGGATTCTTTAGTTGTGATATCATCATGACTTGTGTCACAAATAATGATCATCTCTGCATTGCTGTCTTCACTATCATATGTTTTCAAGGCATTGTTGCTCACACTGTTCTGATAAGACTTGTACTTGTAACCTGTAGCATAGAAAGGGTCCAGACGTGGCTTCACTTTCATTGAACCATAAAGATTTCCAGCATGTTTCTTCTCTGCCTCTGAAAGATCATTGAGAAGAAATCCAGAAATATTGCAAACAAGGCATTTATCCTTATAATGTTGGCAAGTTTTGGCTGCTGTAGGGTTGGGTAACAAAGCCTTTCCTCTATTCACTGACTTTTTAACCTCATAATGTCCACGTGGCAGGTTGGGTTTCTTTATTCTGCATGGTTTGGTGGGTGTGATTTGCTTATGTGTGACTGAAGAAGAAGATTGCGTAGTTGGCTTAGCTGAAGCTTTCATAACAGCTATCCAAGGTGTGACATGCTTATCTGAACAGGATGAATTGATGTTACCTAATTTACAGGCATTGGTGAGATTATGTGACTTTTTAAGGCAACATTTCTTATATGTCTTTTCCAGGTGAGATGGCTTATGTAATCTTTTGGGGTTTGATGACTTAGTTGGCTTTTTTGACTCTAATTGCCTATTTGACTGTTTTATACTACATGATGTAGATGACTTTTCTATATTTATATATTTCATTGGTTTTTGTGTATTAGATGGTATGCATGGCTTTTCTGGACTTGCAGGCTGAATTGATTTTGCTACACTGTTTGGTATGGGAGGTTTATCTGGGCATGAGGATCCAGGTGTTTGCTCTGAATTTAATAGCAGGGGCTGGGTTTCTAGAATGTCCTCAGTTATCATATCAGGTTGACATGCTGATACTTTGGATACCCAGGATGATATAGCTGCCATATTTTCTTTGTTGAGCCTGAAATGCAGAAAACTTGGAATGTTACAATTTAAAACAAAAAGTACTATTACTATCATCAGAAAATATAATGCTAGCTCAGAGTATGGATTTTTTTCCCATAGAAAACATAACTAAAAATTGCAGTGTGCTGAGGACTAAACTCGTGTTGCACATGTATATGAATTCTTGATAAATAACTTCCCTTAAAGAGTATTTTTACTATTTCAAAGGCATTAGGTACTTATTGTCTATGTATAAACTGTCAAAGTTGTCAATAATAATAAAGACATGGCACACACACACACACACACGCACATACACACACACAAACACTAGAATATTACTTAGATGTAAAATAAATGAAATTTGCTGGGGAAATAGATGGATTTCTATGCGAGTAACCCAGGATACAAAGGACAAATGTCACTTGCCTCTCATATGAGGATCCTAGCTTTAGTACTTTATATCTTTTGTTGTTTTGTTGTTTGAGACAGGGTTTCTCTGTATAGCCCTGGCTGTCCTGGAACTCACTCTGTAGACCAGGCTGGCCTTGAACTCAGAAATCTACCTGCCTCTGCCTCCCAAGTGCTGGGATTAAAGGCGTGCACCACCACCGCCCGGCAGTAGTTTATATCTAATGGAATACCTGTGCAACCAAAGAAACAAATAACAAGAGTGTGTGTGTGTGTGTGTGTGTGTGTGTGTGTGTGTGTGTGTGTGTGCACCTTAGGGAAGGAGGATAGTAGAATTAAGGTAAAAAGAATGTAGTGGAGGATATTTTGAGTGGAAATGTTTAGGTAGAGAGGGAGGGCTGGTTGAGTGGGAATTGAGGAGATGACTGTGTGGGATGCAGAAAGATTAACTGGAATAAAGGGAGTATAAACTGTTTGGAAAGCTAGATATACCCACCTACGCAACAACAACTTGACTGTCTAGGGAATGGGGGCTAACTAACTGTTCTTTGAATGGATTGTAGATTCTCTGTATGGGGGATGGGAAGGGGACCAAGTAAGACTGACTAAGGACCCAGGTAGGAGGAGGTAGTAGGTCCACAGGAGGAATGTACTTCTGATGGTTAATTAAACTGACATAGTAGCAAAATGCTTTCTAAATACCTATGAGTATAAATACCTATGTGTATACCCACAGACAAAAGCAGCTTCAGCCTTAATGAAAGGGGCCTGTCCTTACAATGAACAGTGGAGAATATAGAAAATAAGTGATTGATATGAGTCTATCCCCATGCAAGTTCTTTATACCACCTCTTCTAAGAATAAGGGAATGTTGTGAAGGAGATGACCAGAAGTATGTAAGAGCTGGAAGATAAGTCAAAGGGCTAAAATGAAAGGCCATTTCCTAGACTTGATGCAACTATAACTCACATCAACTGTAGTTACCTCCACCAAGACCAGGCCAAATACCTCGGCTCATTGGCTCATTGTCCATTTAGCCTCAGGCATTCCTGCAACAATTTATCTCAATCTAACTTGGTCCCCTTGATTGATCTCTGATATGTGAATGTCGACAAGGGTGGAGATGATTAGTTCATATATATTCATAATTTCATCCATAAGTACCCAGAGTGGACTTGATGTCTATCTTTGTAAATGTGTTTAGGGTCTCAACACTTAAGGGGAGAATGTTAGGTAGTTAAGTACATATTAATGGGCCAGGAGGCCATTGACAAATGACCTTTTCTTTTTTTTTTTCTTTTTTTTTTATTTCTTTTTTTTTTTTGAACATGAAATGCTTTTTTTTATAGCATGTTTTACAAGGGGAGGGGGTAAGAGGGTCCAGGT